AATGAACACATAGATTTCATCAGAGGAAGAATCAAGCATAAATATCAATTTTCTCCTATTGTTTCAATGGTTGAAGATATACTCAAGTAGAGATTTGAAATAATCAGAGCAAATAAAAGGAAAATATCTAATTAAATATGAAATAATATAAAAACATTCAATTATTTTTGACAGCATCCAAATTTCTTAATCATCAGTAATGTCTCTAATCACGAAAGGTAAGGAGATATATATCATTTTCAAAGGACACTCACCTTCCTCCTGTTTTGAAATGCGAGCCAACTATGAACCCATGCGCATCCATGTACTTATGAACATTATCGCTAGTGACACCTGACCCAATCAAAACCGGCAGGTCCACTTTGCTTATGACATCTGTGGCATAATTTTTAAAAATTAGGGTTGGTGGAAAAAAAAGAGAAAAAACATTCACATCAAAGCACCATATATGTCTTTATTACACAAAATGAAAGAAAAAGTGTAGAATACTCTATTATGAATTAAAAAAGAAAAATTATATTGATGAATGACATACTTAGATTTCATAGTGTTCTCCTATGTATAAGTGATTTGTGGAAATGGTGTAGAAGCACTGATAATGTTGAGCATTTGATATATTGCATGTCATATACAGACTTTTGTCTTTTAGTAGCTTAAAACTGAGATATGATGAAAGTAAAAGTAACTATTAACACCCCTTATTTCTTTGATTTTAATACTATTTGTGCCAATTCATTATAGGCTACAGTCTTATGCTTGATGTAATAAGCAATAAACAATAAATAATAAGGTCACAGTCATTTTAGTAAATCAACTAATTATTCATTATACATTAATCCATTAAGGTATATAAGCATGTCATGTTGCCAACTTACAATGAAGCATGTTGACTGTGGACAAATTAATGTTGTGCTTCTAGTAAGAATTGTGTAGTAATAAAGCATACATAAAAGAAACTGAAGAGTGGCATAGCTCATCACTATAATGCTCTATTCTATGTGCTTCTCTAGCCACTGTTATCTTACAAATACAACCTTAAATACCAAACTGTCCTAACACCTGACCAATAACATCTACAAAAGAATACCACCTGAATCTTAGTGCCTTACTTTCAAGCTGGCGGTGATCAGCTTCCTGTCCCGTTGCAGAACCAGTAAGAATGACACCATCGGCAAGAAAGAACTTAGCTGCTTCTGCCATGTCTGCTATCTCTACATCACTTGTTATGGAGTGAGCACTGAAACACAAAAATACAACTACTAAACCTTTATTGTATTTCAAATACCTAAGTAGGGAATGACCAAAAAGGAGTTTCCCCAAACTCAAATTTTCAAAAGTAAAGGATACAATATAAGCCTCAGCAAGATAAATAAGTATGCCATGCCCTTTATAGGTAAAATCTCAATCTCACCTGTGCTTCTTCTTAATGTCTGTGAAAACCAACACATCATCTGCCCCAATGGAACGTCTGTATCGGAGCAGAGGCCCAGCACATGCATTCATGAGCCCTTCGTCAGCCACATGGGAGAACACAAAGCACTCTGCTCGGATGAACTGAAGTCCACATGCCTTCCCGACTGCCAGAGCTTCCTTGTTTCCTCCTGCAAGAATCTATTGGAGGTGATTACTCCTGACAAGTAAAGTATACATACACGTATATATACACAAAAGGAAGGTACACTAATGTGCAGTATGATATTATGTTTCAACTGTTAATTTAAAAAAATTATAGAGAGCATTCTAGTATGAATCATGCAGTATGATTTTTACTATGAATCACTGTCATCAATTTCATTTCTTTAGTTAATACAGTTTCCTAAAATGTAAGAAAAATGCACCTGTTACACAATCGGTTAAATCATTTAACTATAAAAAATATAATATCAATATATGAAAATGTACATAAGAAAAGCACATAAGCAGACAACTTACATAAAATATGTTAGCATAAATACCTGAATGCCACAAGGAATGTGTTTGGGAATGATACTTCGCACTTCTTGGCACACCCTTGTCATTGTGGCTACAACTTCTGGTCCTAATGATGCTCCCATGAGGTACGGGATGTCAAACATATTTTCCACCAAGACACCATCCTAAAAGAATAAATTGATATGGAAAGATCTGGTAGAAAAACCATGATGAGTTTTTTTTTTAAATGACGGCCTATAAATATAAATATAATTTGTTGATATTCTAATATGAATCCCTGGGTCTAATTTTAGTAAACCCACCAAAAAAAAAATTAAACTTGATCTCCGTAAGCTGTCATGTCATCTATAGTCTAACTTCATCATGAAATCAAAATCTTATCATAGAAAAACAGCAACAACAAATTCTGAATAACTAAAAATAATTGCCTTACAACACCGGCCTCTTTATATGCAAATGCTTCCTGACGAGCCATCTCAACCAGCTCATTAATTCCGTGACGATTCAAGGGTGTTCCTGTCAATGAAAAATTCTATAAAATTTGCATCGTCTCATCTCATTCAATAGTTAATAGATCTCTATTTACTGTAATCAGTTCAGCTAGTATGTATTCAATCCAGAATAATGGTATGGAGAACTAAAAAGGAATTATAAATGTCTGGAATACCTGACAATAACATAGTAATAGCAATGCACATAGTAATCACATATACCATAAGCCATGCACACACACACACACACACACACACACACACACACACACACACACACACACACACACACACACACACACACACACACACACACACACACATATGCACACGTGAAGAAGAAAATGGAGAAGAAGAGGAAGAAGAAAAAGAAGAAGAAGATGAAGAAGAAGATAGAGAAGAAGAAGAGAGAAAAGAATTTCTTTAATAAAGACAACACCTCCAATCTTACCCGGAAGTGCCTTGACATGGACCATGCCAATCACAGCGGCTCTTGAACAGTGAAACAGGTCCTTGAAACGCGAAAGAGCCATTGCTGAAATATTAAACCAAAATCAAATTACGCAACTGTTAGTTCATAAACGGTGTTCCCCAAAGTACTATATGTAAGAGGCATGTTGATATTACAGATTAATCAAGATTATGTCCATAGTTCAGTTATGTCATTTTTTTTACTTGTAAACCAATTCATAGCAAAGATTTTTTTCACAGCTACACTCATGAATATTTAGACAATAAAATGCATAGAAATTTTGAAAACTAATGCTGATTAAGAACATAAATTGAGGCTTAACGGTGCCTGTGAGGATTATGTAATGATAAAATACAAGGGTGCCAAAATACACTATTTGAATAGTAAAAACAATGATGATGGAAATGAAGATGAAGATGAAGATGAAGATGATGATGGAGATGGAGATGATGATGATGATGATGATGATGATGATGATGATGATGATGATGATGATGATGAAGATGAAGATGAAGATGAAGATGAAGATGAAGATGATGATGATGATGATGATGATGATGATGATGAAGATGAAGATGAAGATGAAGATGATGATGATGATGATGATGATGATGATGATGATGATGAAAATGAAGATGAAGATGATGATCAGATGGAGATTACGAAGGAGATGACAATGAAGATGAAGATGATGATAGAGATGAAGATGAAGACGGTTATCGAGATAGACATAACAATGGAGATGGAGATGATGATGGAGATGGAGATCGAGATGACAATGGAGATGACGATGGAGATGATGATGATGATGATGATGATGATGATGATGATGATGATGATGATGATGATGATGATGATGATGATGATGATGATGATGAAGATGAAGATGAAGATGAAGATGAAGATGAAGATGAAGATGGAGATGGAGATGATGAAGATAATGATGGTGATGAAGATGGAAATGACGATGGAGATGGAGATGAAGATGAAGATGATGATAAAGATGGAGAATGATGAGGATATGTAAATTTGTATGTAAATTAGAGGAGAGACTTCAAGGGAGATAATAAACACCTGTTGATCTTATCGCAAAATGTCCTCTAACTGATAAATATCCTGAGGAGTCATTCTTCCTAACTGCTACAACCTATTCCTGTGAATTTGTCCATGTCATTGAATAACAGTGTCAATACCGTAGCGAGACTTACTAAAGAAAAAAACATCTGCGTTTTACACCAAATGTTATATAACGATTTCGTAACACGGATATATAACACGAGCTAAAAACCGGATATTTTGATAATACCAGTCACCAAACAGCTAAAACCTACAATTCAAATACAGCAATAAATTATCTACCTAAAGAAATACCTTCATTAAGTTAAAAAGTGCAATAACAAGAGAATTTTTTTATCAACTTACAGAATCTCTAATACACAACCCGTACCTTAAGCGGCGACGGAAGGGGGCGGTTTGTTTACTCGATCAGCTGATTCATTCACAAATCCATTCACGGAATTACTCGATCAGCTGATTTTCTTCCCGTTCGAAGAGCACCTTCTATACTCTTCACCCTTTGGATTATTGGCGTCCTGGCGATAGCATGGTGTGAACTCGTGCTAGAGAAGAAGGAAAGGGAGATCATCTTTCACGGAAGGGACTGATCCGGAGAATATCAAGAATTTTTTTTCCTTTTTATAGGCCTTCTTCGTCTGCTGTGATGTTGTCCGAGGAATACAAGAGCTGTCTCACTGAGCTTTCGCAAATGGATAATGATGTGAGACTTGTTTTTTTATGCTGTTTTTTTTTCCCCGTTTGTGGAATGCATTCCATGTAGGCAGGAGGGTACCTATTACTGAGAGTCCCAAGTCCTAAGGCCAGGATATCATGCGAACCCAAGAATCCATGCCCAACCTTTTCCACACTCTATTTCCTAGACAGGGGGTAAACCGACCTGTACCCCCTCTCTTTGTGAGCAGTTTGTGCGAAAAAATGCAACATCAAGAACTATGGCTGGTGAGGGTGTTGTGGACTTACTCACTGAGCGGCTTCGTACTGCAAATATTTTCGTCATTTCTCAGTAAATAGGTCACTGCAGCTGTACCTGTGTTGTCTATTATGCTCTCTAAGGCAGTGTCCAGTTCCCTCTATCTTTATGTGTCACTCTCAGTAACATTGACTGGCAGAAGGTAACTTCCAGATTTACTTCCTCTAAGAATGGTAACTTGAGAAGTAACTTCATTGAATTTGTGAATTTGGTAGTACTGCACTGTGAGCTAGTGCTGTTGTTGTTGTTTTTTTCTAGTATCAGAACAGAATCATGATTCATATGGTTAACTTTTTATTATAATTTGAAATCACACACCATGACAAAATACAGAATATACCATCTTCAAACCTGCAAACCTGGTTATCATTTCTTCATGTTTGCTAGAGTTGTTACTTGAGTTATTTGAGAGAAGAATAGAAGAGGTTTTTTTCAGCCTTAGTCTATTTCATTATCATGTATTATTTACGGTTTATTACTGTACTTGGGCAATATGTGAAACTGTGGCCTTTACCAATTTATGAAGTATTTACAAACCTTTACAAATAGTCTAACTATGAAAGATGTCTATGATTTAATAGTGCAATCTGGGCCCATTGAAAATATAGATTTTAATTGTCCATTCTAAGATAAGTTTTTCATATGGTTGTTTTAAGTTGTTTTTCTTTTATTGTTTTCTTATTCTTCTGTTTCTTTCATTCTTTGGCTTATTGTGATTGCGGCAGAGGTGCCTCATACAAGGTCTGTGTGTATTTTTTTTTTTTTTTTTTTTTAAGGGCATCTTGGCATGACATTTATATTTTGAAAATGGCAAGTAAAATCAATGCATAATATCACTTTTGTCTTTATCTCAGTAAAATCTTACTAAAATTCAAGGAGTAGAGTTTTTTATTAAATGTTCATTTTGCTTTTCAATGCCAGACCTCATTGAGCCAGATAAAAATTCTTCAAATTCAATAGGGAAAAGGAGCTATCTTTCATACTTAGAGACTGATAGATCTAATATCTCATTATCAAAGTAATCATACCTAGATCTGTAAAATTTTATGTGAAACCACAGATAAAAAAGATGAGATAAAACAGATGGGTTTTATACACATTGCTAAATAGTATGCTGGAAATTTAGATACTGGGATGTATATATCTTGTTGTTGCAAATTAGTATGCAAGAATGATTCATCTGAACAGCATTGCTAAATTTCTCTTATTTTTCAGTCTTTTTTAGCCTCCTGGGAAATGGCTCTGGACCATCTGAAAACATATAAGGAACAAGAAGAAATTCTACCTTATTATAGCGTTCAGCATCAGAAGGACACGTTGGTAAGTCACGACTCTAGGCTATATGTTATGTCTCCAAAATGTTGGTTATCCATAGTTTTTATATAATAGAATCCCATATGATATATTTGGTTCAGAATAAGATGACAGAAGATTTGCAGATTTGATTAATGTTAGATGTGTAAATTCAGTTATTTTAATCTCGAGGAACCTTCTGTATAATTTTTTTATCTAGGTTTACATATTATCTTATTTTTTTTATCCCTCTAGGAACTGAAATCAGCAAGGATAGCCAAGTTACTTGAGCATTTACTTGAAACAAATTCCGACCAAGATCTAGCAAAACTCCTTACTTCATCTGGGCTACGAAAAGAAGTAGTGAATATCATTATTTCCCAGGTACGTATACTTAACTATAGATTTTCAACATGAAGTAGCTATTGCGACTTTTGTTTGATTATTATTATTATTATCGTTATTATTATTATTTTTTTTAATGCTATTATTGTTGTTATTATTATTGTTATTATTATTATTATTATTATTATTATTATTATTATTATTATTATTGTTTTTATTATTATTATTATTATTATTATTATTATTCTTATTGTTATTATTATCATTATTGTTATTATTATTATTATTATTATTATTATTATTATTATTATCATTATTGTTATTATTATTATTATGAACATCATCATTACTATTATCATTATTATTATTATTATTATTATTATTTTTGCTATTATTATTATTGTTATCATCATCATCATTGTTAGTACTATTATTACTACCATTGTTATTATTATTATTACTACCATTGTTATTAATATTATTACTATTATTTTAAAAATTTTCTATCACCACCATCATCATCATCATCATCATCATCATCATCATCATCATCATCATCATCAATCATTATTATTACTACTACTATTACTATTATTGTTATTATTATTATTATTATTATTATTATTATTATTATTATTATTATTACTATTATTAATGTTATTGAATTTTCTATATGTATTGAGTTTATCGTGGGAGCCAGTAGTTTAAGCCTGCTGACTCTTAACGCTTTTGCAAGAAAAAATAGAACAGATTTTTTATTTGATATTTTTTCTTCTCCAGGCATTTTCTGTTCGATGTATATCTTTGTTAAATAATGGGGTTAAATGGTTGTTTGCAGTATCAGTGATGTGCGTACAATATTTTCATAATTGATATTGTGTTATGGCATGTCAATTAAAATAAAATCATTTTAATCAAAA